TTTCGATGAAGAGCTGCCGCAGGTGACCCAGGGGTGCGCCTGGCCCTGCAGGGGGGGCCTCAGCCGACCTCGTGACCCCGGGGCACCCGCGGAGACCAGAGGCCCGGAGGTCACGGCAGCAGCAGAAACACTGCGGCATGGGTGAGGGGACAGGGGCAGCGCGAGTGAGCGAGGCCCCGGGGACCCGCACAGCCGTGTGTCTGGCCCGAGCTTTTCCCTGCCGCTTCGCTCGCGGCGGTCTGCAGAATTTGTCGAGACCGGTTAGAGGACCCGATATTTTCGTGATTTTTTATAACGATTCTGTGCGCACTTGAGGAGAACTCGGACTTTGAACTGCTGGCCGCCGGCTTCCGCATCTGCCCTGGTGGCGATGGCTGATGCTGTCGTCCAGTTCCTCTAGGTCCCTCCGCGTTTCCCTCCCACTGCCTTTTCTGACGGCTGTTCAGAGTTGGATTAAAATCTCCCATCACTATTGTGAATTCATCTACTTTTCCCTGGAATTCTGTCTATTTTGGGTATTATATATTTTTGTGTCTTTGGTATTGGGTATATACAAGTTTAAATTGTAGTATATTTCTGCTGAATTAAGCATTTTCTCATTACAAAGTGACTTTCTTTATCTCTGCTAAAGCTTTTTGCATTAAATTCTACTTCGTTTTATGTTAATATAGCAATGCCAGCTGGCTTTTAATTTGCTTGGCATGTCTTTTTCCATCTTTGTACTTTCAACTTCTCTGTGTATTTATATTTATATGTGTCTTTTATAAATAACAAAGTTCTTTTTTTCTACACTGATTTTTTTGACTAGGGCATATAGAATTGTTATGATGCTGTTTTATTTTTAGTTTACTAAAACCTGTCAACTTATTTTGTGCTTTTAACATGACCTTTTCCACATGTTTCTATTCCTTATCATTTATTGCAATTCCACTTTTTATGTTAGTTTGGAAGTTTAATAAGTGGTTCTTTTAGTAGTTATCCTAGAAATTAAAAACATGGTTTTTAATTCATCTGAGTCTAAAGTGCAGCATTTCAATTACATGTCACCTTAGAGTGTTTGACTTCATTTACCCCTTCTGACCTTAGGCCATTTTTGTCATTTATTTTAATTCTAGTCACTCTTAAGCCCAAAAGATGTTATCATTTGTCCACTTCCTGTGCATTTCGGTTTATCCATGTTTTCATTCATTTTTTCCTTCCGTTTCAGACCTCCCATGTAGAATGGTCTTCCTCCTCTCAGAAGTTTGTCCTTTGGCTTTTGTTTAGTGCTGGTCTTTGTCAGGGGCTGCCACCCACAAGGTGGCCGAGTCGGCGCCAGGTTCCACGGCTTTAAGGACGGGATGCGCGTCCTCTGGGGGCACTGCTGCAGGTACGGACGGACCGCCACGCCCGTCAGCAGGCTCACCCTGCCAGCGAACGGCAGGAGCAGCGAGCGGTCGGGCTGACCCAGCTCCTCTTCCCAGAAGCCCCCCTGCATCGTTGGGCCGCGCAGCGGGGGAGCGCGGTTGGGGGGTTGGCGTACGCGCTCAGATTGCGCTCGCTGTCGGGAGCGCTTCCGGACAGCGTCAGAGGCATCTCTCCCGCCCAGAACCACCCCTCTGTTCCAGCTGCTGGGTCGAGGCGCATCAGCAGCTCCTAAGGCCTACGACCTGCAGAGGCCCTTGGCCCCGGCCACTGCTGCAGCGGGGGAGGGCTCACGACATCTGCGACTGCGTCAGGACCCGTGCTGGGGGCGGCGTCACCACGGAGCACGCGAGTGGCATCCGAAAGGAGACAGGAGGTTCGTCCGTGACTTCACAGGGTTTGCCGAGCACGAGGCTGCAAAGATGACCACGGCTGCGGTCGCGAGGGCGGACGACATCACCTGGGCGTGGACGGGGGGGACGTGCGGGGCTCCTGGCGGGGCACCTGAGGGGCCGGCCCACGGAGAGCTGTTGGGACGGGAGCAGGCGCGCAGCTGAAGAAGAGGCGACGGAGACGGAGACCGCGGAGGAGCCGGAGGAGGAGGAGGAGGACCCCCAGGAAAAGGACAGCGAGGGGTAGCAAGCTTCGCAGACCTCAGCCGCTCCTCTAAAGGTTTAAAACTGGACCCCAACACCGACAGCTTCTCATCAATGTACGGCGCATTATCTGTTCACAAGCACGTCTTCGACGGAAAAAAAGAAGTAAACCAAGCAAACCACCATGGACATTTCTGGAAAGGGTAACTCCTCCTCGAGAAGGGCCTCGGGCAGGGCCTCAGGCGGTGCTCCAGAAGGAGGCACTGTCATCCCAGGAGAGGACAGCTGCGTGGTGTCACCACCCCTGAGACCTCCCCCTGGGACAGGATGTGGAGGTGGGAGGCAGTGATGTGGGTGATCTTGGCCCCGTGCAGGCCTCAGCTACGGTGCGTTTTTGTGTCTTAGTTTTTAACAAAAACGTTAAAAAAATAGCATAAGGATATAAAGAAAAGATATTTTTGTACAGCTGTACAATGTTTTAAGCCGTGTTATTACAAAAGAGTTGAAAGGTTAAAAAAAGTCCAAAGCTTATGAAGTAAAGTCACAGCGAGCCGAGCTTAGTCTGCTGCTGGAGGAGAGAGCGTCCTGGACGTAGCCGCGCCCAGGCGCGCAGTGCGCCGTGTCCAGCAGGGCCCGGCCCGGCCCGGCCCCTCTCAGCACGCACCGTCGCTCACCGGCTCCCCCAGAGCGGCTCCACCAGGTAAGTGCGCTGGCAGGTGTACTGTTTTTACCCTCTGTACCGCAGTCACCGCACCTTTTCTCTGTCTGCGTGTGTTTAGATGCACAGACACCCACGATTTCCTACGGGACTCGGCCCAGTAACGTGCTGTCCGGGCCTGTAGCCCTGGGCTGCAGGCTGCACCACCGAGGTGCGTGTAAGGGCACTCTGTGATGCTCACACGACATCACTCAACAATGCATTCCTCAGAACACGCCTCGTCGTCAAGCAACTCATAACCGTAATGTCATCGCAAACTTCAGAGAAAAACGTCACCTGGATAAACAGACCGACATATCTATACTGCAAGTACATCAGTGAAAAGGAGCAAACTGTTGATGTGAACAACAGCTTGGGCATTTCTAAGACATTCTTGACGTTACAAAGCTGCAGTGGCGAAGAGCAGATCCGAGGTTGCCTCCCTCCGTAAGGACTGGACCCCAGCGCCGGCAGGCTCTCAATATGCGGTGCGTTCGCTGTTCGCAAGCTTCCTGAGCTGCTGGAGCTGCCGCTGTGCCCGATTTTCCTGGGGACTCACTCGGCCTTCACCCAAGGCGAGGCTCAGCCTCCTGCCATCTAAGCCGGCAGTCCCCGCCTTTCTGTCCCCAGGGACCAGTGCTCCCGTGATAGTCTAAGGCCAGATGACCTGAGGCGGAGCTGAGGCGGTAATGCTGGCGCTGGGGAGCAGCTGAAAATGCAGATGACGCTTCACTCGCTCGCCCACGGCTCACCTGCTGTGTGGCCCGGCTCCTGACAGGCGGGGCCCAGGGTTGGGGTCCCCTGCGCTAGTGCAGCACTGCGGCAGGTCCCGGGCCTTGGTCCACGCGGCCAGTCCCGTAAATGTGACGAGTTTGTGCGTTTTTGTAAATTCGTGAATGGTATGTGTATCTGTTTGAACTTGCTTTTCTTTGGCCAGATTCTAACTAGGCTGTGGCTGGGCGGTTAGATGCTTTCACGCTTGTTTGTATGATCAGTGCCACGTGGACGCTGTCCTTGTACATTCCGCCACACGCACGGGCTCTCCTGGTGGGAAGCTGCTGGACGCGCAGCGGCGGGTCACACGCCAGACGCAGCTCTGTCACTGCACATTGACAGAGACCCCTCTGCGGTGGCCCTGCTGGTCCACACTTCTGCTGCGATCTAGCGACATGCTTGTCTCCCCACAGCCTCACTAGCATATGCCGCTCTCAAGCTTTTTAATTATTGCCAACTTATGGAGCAGAAAAAGTGGCATTTTTGTTTTGTTACACGTTTCTCTTGTGTTCTAAGTACGCTAAGTTCCTGTTCGAATAATTTTGTAGTTACCAACGAAGACTGTAGGGTATGATGGAGGCCTCAAAGAAACGGCTTCGTTCAGGCGTGGGATCAGAATAGGAAGCGAGCAGACTGCAGCCTGTCCCTGGACCCTGGCAGCTTGTCCCCAGGGCACGTCTGCCTCCTCCCACCCGGGAGACGGCCGTGTAGTGATGGGCGTCCGGGACAGTCAGGCAAGGACACGAAAGGGGCGTTCAGGGAGCGGGTTCCACCTCGGGAATGTGTTTGCGTGGATTCAGGTTAAGTACAGCGTTTGGGAGAAAGAATCTCAGTGAAAAGCTGGATCAAAGAAGAAACGTGGGTGTTTCAGGCGATGGAAGGGGGCGGCCGGCACCAAGCGCGACAGACACACACATGTAGCACGGCCACTCGGCACGCTGCGGGGGAGACGCAGGGACACCGGCCGCAGCCAGTTGGCCTGGGGGCTCCGGAAGGAGGTCCTGTCTGCGCGGGCCCAGACAGAGGGGCGGTGTCGCCCCGGGCGAGCCCGGCACGCTCGGCGGGAGCCCCGTCCTGCGGAGCGGGTCCGTCCGTCCATCCACGTGCTTCGGACGCTTCGCGGATCTTGCTCTGCTGCGCCTCCGGGCAGAGAGCCGTGGCCTGTGTCTTGCTGTTTTTAAGATCCGCGTTGTGTTTCTCATAAAAAGACATTCGTAGTGCACTGTTTATAATGTCCTCATTGGAACTCCGTAACGTGGAGAGGAGAAGACATTTGTAAATCTGAGCGAGACCCTTTGAAGATGCTGAGAATGTCTCCTGGCCTCAGGGCCTCCGTTGAGCCGACTGGCCGGCCCCTCTGGTCCTCGCTCCCACTGCACTCCCCAAGCCTGCCCTGCAGCCGCCACCTTTACGCCCCTCCGAGAGGTCACGCGACCTGGCCCCGCAGCCTCTGCTGGCCCGCCCGGAGCCCGTCCTTCACGGCCTCCTCACTGTGGGGCAGGGTCCGGTGAGCCCTTGTTCCAGGGTAGGTGGATGAACAGGAAGCCCCATTCCGAATACCTGTCCCTAGTAGGGGGCCACCCGATTCGCTTTGAGCCCCGTGGCACTCCGCGCACGGACAGAGCCTGACTCCGTCACCTGCAGAGATGTCTAGGGTGCACAAAGGTCTGTGGGAAAGTTAAAGGTCATGCGTATCACACGTGAAATCACGTGGAAACCGTGGACGTGGAAGCGTTACGCAGGCTGCATCCTACTAACGACCGCGATGGGTTTTTCTTGGCAGTCTGCGTGTGAACTTGGACATGGGTAAAGCGGCATACGGCTGGATGGTCATGAGAGACGAGAACATTCCTGGCACAGTCGTCCGGACCAGCACCATCCCGGAGGAGCTGGGGCGCCTCGTTTATCTGCTCACGGACAAGACAGGTACCGCCCATGCGTGTGCGCCTGGAGGGGCCGCAGTGTGTGCGTCCGCACAGGGTCATGGGGGTGTGTGTGTGTGTGTGTGTGTGTGTGTGCGTCCACTGAGGTTTATGGGGGTGTGTGTGTGTAACTATTGATTCATACTTAGAATTTCTCAGACTCTGCTCTTGAAAACTGACACACAAGTTATCTTCATCTTAATATAATGGTATCATCAGAATTAGCAAAATATTAAATTCTTAGAGATTTAAGTGACGTGTTTCTATATTTGGAACTTTCTCCACCCTTGCTGTTGTTTTTTGTTTTATTCAGCTGCCTTTATTATACCTCTTTGGTGGCTTCTTAAGAGCAAAATTTGCTTGTTTTTTATGGAATGGTGCTTGTAAGCTCCTCTGTACCCTGTTTTCATGCCCCAAATTCTATTTGTCCTTATTTTGGCTTTTTCCTTTTTTCATTGGAGAATTCTTGTCCATGTGTAATGTACTAAATGAAAGACGACTGAACCCAGCAGTATAATAAAAGCTGTATCTAAGGGTGAAAATTTTGCTTTATGATTTAAATTTCTAGTAGTTATTAGTGAACCAGAAATGAATGAAGATTTGTATTAACACGGTAAAGAAAATGTCTTCAGTAAAATTCAGTATTTTTAATAAAATATTAGAGAAATCCTCACTAGAGTCAGGAAGAGGAGAAATCTCCTAACGCATGATTTAACATTCGTTACTATAGCTGTTGCAATAAGACAAGAAATAGAAATATGATACGCAACTAAAAGAAGAAAAAATATTTGCAGTATAACGATCAAGGACGGAAATCAGCTGGTTAAAGACAAGCCTTTAGGAAAGTGGCAGTTTTCAGATGAAAGTAACGGCCTAGCTCCCTCAAGAACAAGCCCGTTCCCGACAGCCAAACCTCGA